GAAAACATGGATACTAACACTTGTATATCTAAGATTCTTTCGTTTGATGTCGAATGACCTTGAGGTTTTACATTTTCTGATTGGGATCGGTAGGCTGCTCGACTAGACGACGTATTTGATGGGGAATAAGATTGAAGTGCAAGGTTATTCTAGCCCTTGGTATCAGTAGTGTAAATTTTGTTGCGAAATCTGTGATGGCTATTGTGCTTTATCTCTAATTAGGTAGGTTCTAGAACGTTTTCTACTGCAGCAAATTGTGAAGATGCATCAAGTTTTGAGGTAGACATCTCAGCTAGAGATGCTCGATGTGAAGCTGCCTGCAATGTTTGCGATAGTTTAGGATAGATGTGCTACTTAAAAAACGTTTGGTGAATGACCTCGGTAAGTTTTCCATAGCTCTCCTAAATAAATAAATAAATAAATGGTATATTACTCGGTGATTCGAGGTGCAGTCCAACTATGTGTACAACAGGATCGCAAAAAATAACCAATTTGTTCCCGCTTTTTACAATGGATCCAAAGCAGGTATTAAAGTAATTGGCAGGATTAAGACATCAAAGAAATTAAAAAGCCAGGAACAATAACATATGCAGATTTAAACAGACGTCGAGTGAAAATAATACGGACACTAGTGAAACCATCCCCAGGGGACCTGCTTCCATGCAAGCTATTCCCTCGAAATGTTTCGCCCGCACTTCCATGCAATACCTGGACGCATGCCGGTGTGGCATAGTGGCATATGTGCCATCACCTGTTTATCATATGTTGTGTTCTTTTTAGGGCTGCTTTCACACATGTATTATGAGCGAGGAAGCCTTAGCTCAGTCCGTCATGCGGATCATTCAATTATGACCCTTTTTTATACTCCAGTCAGTTGGTGGCAATGTGCCTTGCATAGGTAAAGTCTTTTATAATCTGGAAGCTATAATCCCTCACCACAGTAGATCAGCCCAGTCGTGGCCAACAATGAAATAAGGAAGAATGTAGAAAAGCAGGATTACGTGAAAGATGTACTATATCGTTACTGCAAAAATAGGCAGGTCTGTTTTCACATCAGCGTAAAAATGGATCGAGCCGATCGTGTGATCAAACTGTGTGGCGTGACAGCCGGAGAGAGATAATTGTACAAGTTGTCCGTAAGGAAAAGTCACATAGAGAATCCGTTATTGCCATCACTGAATTCAAGTATGTTTCTAGACTGTTAACTCCAGAAAAGAAGGGGAAATGATTAGCACTGTAGAACAAATGTAACGAAGGAGATCGCAGAACAACATTACGAATTAATAAATTTGTGGGGAAAATTAGGAAAATAGTTCCTGACGCCAAACCAGTAAATAAGTTTACTCTCGGTTGTAAACAGAAGACAGTCGGTATAAATTAATTTCGAAAGGAGTAAAACAGCTTAGGGGGTAGCATTAAAGAATAGCATAAGAAGCGGTTTGTGGCAGCTCATCCTAGATGCTCATGTTTTCTCTAGCGCATTCGAGTCGATGTTCTCCAGTATCATCCATGATCCGGCCCTTCGTCATACAGCTTTTCATCATCAAGTTGAATTTTTAAGATCCATTTCATTCTGTCCGCTGACAGACAAGCCTTTATCATTTTCTTGAACATGCACAAATGTTCAATACATCTAATCTTTTTTGGCAGCTCATTCCAGATGGAGCCATACCTAAGAAGGTAGAAATTTCTCCTTAGGCTGATCTTGAATTTAGGTAAATATAATATGTATTCACTATCTCTCAGTTCATAACTGATAGTTTCCCGAAAGTGAAAATGATAGGTTCCAGCATATGCTTTCCGCCAAGTGAGTTTGTGGAGGTAGCACAGATTTAATTGCATTCTTCATAACCACAGAGGTTCAATATTCAGCTCCTTGCACCTATCTTTGTATGAAAGAGCGGTTGAATAACAAAAAATGCGCTTCCTAAAGGCGCGTTGAACGTTTTCAACGGCTCACAAGTCACACTTCCCAAGTCACTGAATGTAACCCAGAAATATTCAAGCAAATACCTGATACTAATTTTGAAATCAATTAGTCTGGTTTATTTCAAGGTTAGCAGGTGGCATATGAGCCCGACCGACTGCTTAGCCTTTTTCACGATATGATTTGTATGTTCGCTAAAGTTTAACGAACTAGAATATCTTAATCCTAAGTCACGAACAGACTGGCTGATGGGAATGAGTTCGTCATGAAGCCTGAACACTTCTGCTGCTATCTGTCATCCATACGCTGGAATACTACACCTCGATGTTGCAAATGTCATCTGCCACATATCAGCCCATCTCTCAATGACTTTCAAGTCTAACGTCCGAATGCTGACATAGATGAAGTTGCAATATTCAAGAATAAGACGCGTGAGCATTTTAACTAGTGGCAATTTGGCAAGGGCTGTTTGGATTTTGTGGCATATGTTATCCACGGATAGTCCAGCTCGAGCTATTGGGTATTGGGCTTGTTCAGAAAAGCGAAAGTGGGGTGAATATCGGATCCCATGATCACTGGTAGACTGTCCTTTGGACACTATTTTGTTGTTAAGTTTAGTTGATTCAATCGGGGGGTCGAGCAATCCCATGACATGAATTTCCGACCGAAAATTTTAACAGCCACGTCTCAGATCATTCTTTGAGAGAATGAAGCTCTTGAAGTAATAGTAGTGTGCTCTGAATCGCATCAGTCCGGATTTTGTAAATTATCTTAATGTCATCAGCCAATAGAAAGAGGTAGCAATTTTTGGCGGATATACGAATATCACCGATGTGGAGGAGAAAAAGCGGGAACAGTGCTGGTCACACAAAATGACTATTTGAAATCGACTGCTAAAGGTAGGAGGAAAGCGAACTTAAAAGCCGGTTTCGGATTCCAAAGGATTCAACCTTTTTCAACAACCGTGTGTACTGCACATGGTCAAATGCTTTTCAAGGTGCAACAATAAAATTATTATTACAGTACCGGAGTCTATGGGTTCTGAAGTGTACTTTAGTTGGTGTGGCTGGCAGGTCGTGCAAAAGCGTCCATCAAGTAACCCATGTTGAATTGTGTTAAGCAGGTTCAGAGGATTAAGGAATTCCAACAACGTTTTCTTGACTACTCTTTCGGACGGAATGGCGATGATGGGAGTATGATGAATAGTTTTCTAAATGGCTACTTTTCTGGGACCACCTTTATGGGGTGGGATGGTGAAGGAGGTTTTCCACTGGTAATGAAAGTAGCCAGGTTGTAGCGATAAAGTGAACATATTAAACAATGGTACTAGTAAATCTGGGCCTCTTATTTTACTAGCAGTATAAAGGATGCTGTCTGAGTCCACTCTGAGAGGTTTGCTAGTTTTCATTAGCTGCTGAATAATGTTGTGTGAAATGTTGGCACTGCTTAGACTTTTGTCTGTTATGGATTGAGGGTATTCAGGTATAGGGTCAGATACAAAGATTATGAACACAGCAAGGAAGTCGCTGTGCGCCTGACAAGTGACAAGTGCGTCACTAAAGGATTTACTATGTTCATCCGAGAGTCTCGTGAAGGGGAAGAGCTGTTGCTGGTTTGATGAAGAATAATATTTAATGATGGAGCAGGAGTCGATGTCATCTAACTGGATTTCTCAAAAGCGTTTAATCGCTTAAACCATAGAATTCTCCTTCAATAGCTTCGGAACTGGCATGTGCGACCCAATGCTGCATTGCATAGATAATTTCTACGGGAGCATCGGTTGGTTCTGATAACCCTGGAATATCAGTCCGAGACAGCTGATGTGGATTACGGTATACTACAAGGATCTTTGCTGAGGCCTCATCTATCCTTGGTTTTCCTAAACGATCTAGCGTGATCAATTGCTTCCAAGTTCCTAATATTCGCAGATGGTCTCAAGATATGGCAGAAAGTCAGAAAACCGGAGGACCGTGAATAGCTCCAGCGCGATCTAAACACGATCTGGAACTGGTCAGTACAATTCCATATCGTTCAATGTAGAACAATGTCGAGTTGTTCAGCTACGCCGTAGGCATGTCTACATATAAAGGCTTGGAGTTTACGGATTGCAGACAAGCTCCCAGAAACGTGAGTTTGGTGTGTTCATACAGAGGGACCTCAACTATTCAAACCAGTCTGAGGCAGCTGCGAAAAGTGGCAATCAGTCCGTCGGCTTGCTGCTGTGGGCAATCGGGAGATCTGACCCATTCATCTTCGGGATGGTGCACAGCACTTACTTGCGCCCTCAAGTAGAATACGCCATCCAAACGTGGCAACTTTGGTTTAAGCGTGATCTGGAGACGTTAGAAGCACCACAACGAAGGGCAGAAAGAATGTCAAAGGCCTGCGCAATCGCTCTTACCATCAAAGGCTGAAGTTGCTGGGAATTTTCAGCAGACGCTGTCTATGGTTACGCGGTGATCTCATATTAGTGTACCCAATATTGAGTGATCCCAACCAAGTATGTCACCATTTGCTAAAATTTAGCCACAGCACCAAGCTCAGAGACTGCTGGTTGAAACGTAGTGAACAATACAGCCGTCTAGAGTCTCGACGGAATCACTTTTCCCTTCGAGTTTGCTAACCCTGGAGCTCTCTCCCAAACTCAGTAGTCTCCCCCCGTGCTTTGGACGTTTTCAACAGACAATTGGATGTTGCTCTTAGCTCCCATCACTTCGTTGCTTAAACTACGCTATTGTGGTTTACATTAATCATGCCATTCTACCGGATTTATGTGTCAACTGGACCCAAGGAGACAGCGAATGAGTGAGCGACCATATTTTGCTTCTCTCACGCTTTACGTAAATGAGCACTGCGCCCCTTATTGCATGGTATGTTTGCATTCGGTTTTTATGTTACGCTGACGTTATTTATTAGCTCATTTAACTCAGCAGACGCTCGGTAGATGACTCACATACCTTTTGATTCTGCAGTATTCAGCCCAACCATCCTACGGGACTTGTTTTTAACCGTGATAAATCATTGTTCATGGTTCATCGGTGCTCATTCCGATATCTAGAAGGTCGAATCAATGTGGTTGGGAATAATATATATTTGCAGTAAACACAGTTGCTGTTTTGTGCATTTCACTTACTCGTGGTTGGGAGAAAAGGAAGCTGAATAGGGATTGACCGAGAAAGGTGTGCATTTCAGTATGTTTCGTTTGGATTGGATACATTCAATCTTTCTGAGGGACTGAAAGGTCAGAGTTAGTGTGCTGGTGATGACATAGATGATTCAAGTTCCGGATTTCAGATCGGAAGTATGTGTCTTGCAAGTTCTCGTGGAAAGTAAACAGGGGGAGTTGCATTGGTAACTGAGATCGATGGGCTTACGGTATGAAAGACTTGACACTTAGGTAGGAGTAGCGCACGCTACCGACGCTTCTGATGGACTTCATTCACCGTTGAATCCACGTACTTCGACTGCGAGAAAAGGATTGGTGTAAAGTATGAAATCATGCACAATCACCGAATACTGACCCACTCTTATGAAATTATGCATGGTAGTATGTAAACGTTCTTTGGGGGTCATTTATAAACACTTTTCGTGTGAATGTATAATGGCATGCAGAATTAATCTGGGTCTGTCCTGTGGCATTGGAGTAAAGGTTTCAACCGCTTGCCCCTACGTCACAGATCCCAGTCATAATTGTGCAATCTCCATTTGATGGGAACAAACAAGCAAGAAACCGGTCATGGTGTGCAATGTTGAAAGCGTGTAGCATCTAACACAAATGTGTATCGACAATCGTTTGAAAGCATGCGCATTACCTCGGGAATTGCGCTTTGCAGGGCAACAGAAATGGAGAACCAAAAGTCAGTGGGGGATTTAGAGGCTAACATGTCACGCATTCGACGTCACTTTTTCTTGTCACCCAGAATTTCGACAGCTTCAGGTCAAACTAACCTGTTCGTTGCTCTAGGCGTTAAGAGGAGTAATGAAAGTAGAGCACGGGTTGAGGATATGTATTTCATTGCGCCACAAAGCTTACTGTTCAGTCCGCAGTTACAAAAACACTTTTGTAGCAAATCATTCGAATAGTAACAATAAGCCTGATTTACTAGGAGTAACCCAAAAGGCCCAGATTCGTTACAACAACCAGCTACACTCTTCCATATAGCAGCTTCGTCCTTTGGGGCTTGGTCTGAAGTGAACGTTCGATCCAGTATGTGAGAGGTTAGAACGGTGGCTCATTTCGAGACAGTGCCGTGAGTGATGGCGGCTTCGCCCTGATCAAGTGATCAGCTGTGATCTAGCGTCACCCACCCAGCACTATCATGTGATTTTAATGTGCAGAGGACAAGATTAGACTTCCAGAATCGTGATCTCTTTAGCTAAGAAGCCATTGTTTGTCCACATCTCCAGATAGCCTTGACAATCGTTGATGATCGGTAGCGCGATGTCTCCTTCACAGCATTGTTGTTGCAAAAGTGGGACAGTCTATGCGACAGCCCTAAGCCCAAAGTGTGGTCAGCTCAGCAAACAGGCTACGTCCCATCCGCCTGCCCTTGTACAGGTGATATAACTCTTCTCTACAAATTCGCATAAGCTAGGGATTATTTGGTGTCTATCCCAGTCAGGGCACAAATATCCTCTTTGTGCCGCTTGCCTCATTGGTCTAAAGGTAGTGTGATGATACCGGAGTGCTGGAAGGCAGAAACATTTATCCGTGAATGATAGAGATGCTGGGTCAAGTGTTGCCTTCGAAATCAACTTGCTCCTCATCCACACACCTCCCGATCTTGTTCCTTCGGGTGCACATGAAGTGTGAAGTGTGTAGATGGAGCTAAGGGTGGTTCAACACAAACCATCAAAGATTTAACCAGAGATGCAGATGTCCTGTTTCCACAGTCACAAACGGCACCGAAAACGGATGCTTCTATACAACCTCCGCAGTACCGTGTATTCTCCATGTGTGCAGATAATGTCACTATTTATGTGTGAAGTATACCATGTATAAATTAAACTCGCCTAAAATATGTACCAAAGAAACGTTCACCTACAAGCAGCCGGGGCGTTACAATCCAACTTCCATCTGCTTCAGCTACGCTCCTAATGATCGAATGACCAAGGTTCGCTTCAATGGGAATCATTGTCCACACTGAGATTGCACGTCCCAGTCCAGCCACGCAACGTGTACTTCATAATGACCCGCCAATCAGACTATTCGGTGATTTTCACAGTTTGTGGCAGCTTTCTGAGTGAGTATAGCCATACTGAATCACCTTTGAAATTGACCCAAACTCCGTTCACAGAACTCTCCAACCACTAAAACCTTGGTTATTCACTGAGCCACCTTTAACCAGTATGCATTCTCGGATGGCGCTGTGCCAAGAGTAGGGACCAGTGCCTTCCTATGTCGGAAACCAGTAACCATTAGAATCCACGGCCAACAAATTGCATCTGCTTTGTTACAGATAATGCTATGAATACTAACGGTAGAGGTTAGAGTACCCTCAGCTGCAACAGCAACAACTAACACTAATCTTCAACTGAACTCGTTGGTTGTGTTCTAAGTTTACGTGACGCCATGCTTAAGAGAGCTACACTAGCCCTTTTGGTCGCCGTTGATACACTGCAAGCAGGCGACGGCTACCAGAATTCCGCAAATGGGAGGTACCCATTCAATTCGTCATTTTTATCGATCCAGCTGAGCTTATTAGGTGAGGTTATAAATTGTTGAGTTCAAATGTTTTGCTAGTGCTGTTTGGGGCTCTAGATAACTATGCCTAAGGCAGGCCATTGCAGGTCTATTCTGGTGAACAAATAGTTCATATCTGTGCTATCATGAGGAAAGTCGCTAAAAGATCACTTCAAAATTTCATTATAACTTGTGATTTGGCAGTTTAGGAGCTTACTTGAGTTCGTCCCTAACAAGAGACCCTCATGGCCACCATGTGAGTAATCTGACGAACGCTTTGTCACTCTTGGGCGAGTAAAACTTTCTTTTGGTTTACAAAACGAGGAACACAGTGTACAAACTTAGTATGCGAAACCGCATTCTCACTTAACTTTATACCGCGTATGTTATTCTAATGTTGTAAGCTTGCCAAATGGTATCCTAACTTTTCCCAGTACATGAGTTCTGTTCTGCTTGTTGTATGACGGGATGCGTTATCGTGACACCCTTTTCTTTGCGTGCAAACTAACTAATTTTATTCATTCCAGATTGTAAGATTTCAGGTTTCTTTGAGTGTTCTGACACCAAGTTGCCCGCAGTACTGAAGATTTCAGTTGTTACTTCTAACAGTTCATGAAAAGTAAGATAACTGCAAGTCTCCAAAAATTAACTGATCGCATGTAAACGCAAGCGTCGCGAGACTAACTGGGTGTCCACAGCTACGTTTCGGAGCTGGACTGCATGGATGTCTATACTACCCGATAACGGGGCTTAAACTCACGGTCACAGCTATTTCCTTACTTCCAATTTGCCCGCAGATTATGCTCCCAAACTAATAATACCAGTACATAATGTCATACATTCAGCTTACGAAGCCAGTCACTTTGTGCTCGTGTAGTGGCAATCGTTGGAAGAGGTACTGTCCACCACGACCAGATCACGTTGCCGTTGTTGATTCCTTCCCTTCGCGCGACGATTTTTGAACCACACTTGAACACGCGATTCGGGCAGTTGAAGTTTCAGCGCCAACTCTTCGCGAACATACACGTCGGGGTAACGAGTCCTGGTGAAGAGCTCCTCCAACATGGACAGCTGGTGCCGAGTGAATGTCGTTCTCTCCCGCCGTTGCCGTCGCACCTGGCCACCTGAGCAAGACGATAAGTAGTAGTAACATGGTAAACCTTTCATCGGAGAGTATGATCAACTTTTATTGCACAAATCGACGTACCCGTAGTAAACTGCGTGTTAAGTAGTATACTTAGGTAACAAAATTATCAATCGATCTGTACTAGTTGTGTGCTTGTCACTCTCGCGCTTTGTAAATGATTCCGTATGGGGTTACCAGTATATACTGAAATACCGCTGGCCACACGTTCAGGTACATATATCCGTGCGTGCCGACCACTGTGGTTCTTCTGACCTCATTGTTCCAGATTGGCTGTACCCATGGACACCGCGGATTTTTGCTTTACCGAGCTGGAAATCAATTTTTGCTTTGGAATACTTCGACATACTTGTTTTCTCTGTGAATCGTGCACCAAGACTTTACTTTTGGTCTGTTTTTCTATATGTGCAAATTTGGTGGATATTCTCTGGCTACTCTCGGATATCTCACTGATTGGCGCAACTGCCTTCTGTGTCCGCTATATTGGATTTGTTCTACAGCAATTTAACCGGTGTCTGCCATACCACCAGCTTGACCGACAACGTTTGGATTCAGCATACCACTGTAGATGTTGTAACAAACGGCTTCCGTAGATCTGACAGTCACAATGGCACATACTGCTTGCCCACAGAAAGCTAAGTCCAAAGCTTCCAAAATGAACTTTAGTTGTGGCGTAGACAGCTGTGTAAAACTTGTGCGATTTGGTATAGAATGCAGAAACTGTCGAAAATACTTCCATTTTCTATCTGCTCGCTTTAATCTCAACCAGGTAAAAAACCTTAATATTATGAGCGATTCTGATTCTGCACTGTGTGTTATCTTCTTCCACTCGTCAGATGTATAACTGTGTTGGCTCTGAAATGCGATAGGCTGACAGATTGTAGAGCATGCAGCAGCCGTGAAAGATGTCCCACATGAACCAGATAAATCAGTGCCTCGCAGTCGATGCTCAACATCAAGCTCCAATTCAGAACAGTGTAAGAGTAACGGTCCAAAGTTGGCCACCCCGACACTAGCGCCTGCTCTTATAGATGCTTTCGCCACACATTCTTAAACAAAATCACCTGCCACACTGAACACTGTTAAAGGCCGGACAACATACGCGTCCGTTGTTGCTACCTCTATGATGGTGGCACCTCTCATCGTAACCCCGCCCGCTGCTAACCGAGTTACTACTATCAATACCACCACGGGATTCAAGGACCCAACATTAGTCCAACCGAAGAAAGCAAGCACTGATCCCTTCAAAAAGGAGAACCTGAAACACTACCATAATTCTCTGACAGTTATATGCTCTAAGGTGACTGCACCCGGGACGAACTTCATACAATATAAGATGCTAGACGACAAAATACAGTGGAACACACTGTGTCACGTAATGGGGGTTCAAGCTAAACCACTCAATATGATGCGCCTCGTCCGTCATCTAAACTCCGTACACTAAGGTGAATTGCGGTTACTCTAGGTAACACTTCAGTCAGGTAATGATGCAGAGGCAGTTCTCTTGTCAAGCACTCGCATCCGTACCACAACATGTACTGTTCGAATTTTTCTAGATGTTCCTTAGAGCAAGCGCCAGAAACACAAATAAATCCGGATGACTTCCGTAAACAACAAGACACAAAGTCTAACTTTGTTCAACGTGTCCCCGTGCTCCAGACATTAATCTAGCTAGATGCCAAAGTGCATGACTGGGAAGAATAGCACTGTATTTGTGAAATGCTTTCACTCAAAAGCATCATCGTTAATTCGACAACAAGGCCACCACTATCACCTAACTACAAAGGGTCTCCGAGTGATAAAAGTAGCGTTACACTCCGAACTACTGACAGCACATGTGGTCGAAAAGTGACAAAAAGGCGCAAAATGCTGCCATCCACAATACGTACAAAGGCGGTGGGCACCAGGCCACGGATAGACAAAGTAACCCTAAGCAGACAACTTACCAATACAGTTCCGTCACCATGTAGCTCAGAACGGAGACAATGCCAAAGCACGTCGGCAACTGCAGGAGGACAGGATGGTCACCATCTTGTTGGCGGTGGGAGCTCTATACAACAGCCTGAACTGGCCCTAGCGCCTGCATCATCTGTCCTAGAAAAACGACCGGCAGTTGACCCCGCAAGGGTCGGCATAGTCCCTCAGCGGAAACCAGCATTCACAAACACGCTTCTGATCACCGATGCCCTCACCTGCTTGTATACTAATGTACAAGGTTTTCTCAGAAAGCTAACCGAACTTTGTGTTCGATAGGTCGCTACGTCTTGGGGTCCGGTTATTGTCACCGAAACATGGCTGAACACGGAGATCACAGATGCTGAGATTGCACTACCCGGCATGACTTCCATAGGAAACCATCGACCTAGCAGAGAGAGAGTGCTCCTGTATTATCGATCCGACCTGCATGTTGATATCTATGAGGACCCAGAGACGAAAATCGTCGATTCCCTTTGGTGTCGTGTGCATCTAAGAACTGGTTATGTGTGTTTACTAGCGATAGTTTACCGTCCTCCAATGTCCACCTTGGAAATGGATCAATGCCTAGCTTCTGCGATGAAACGAGTCTGGCACGACCATACACTCACATCTTTCTGGTGGGAGACTTCAACCTGCACGTAATCGAAGTTCCAGCATCGTACTGCGAACAAATCAAGTCGGATTTGTAAGAGGTGATGGCCGATGTACCTCTGTACGACCATGTCACCTCTCCTACGCGATTCCGAACGGGTGACACACCCTCTGTTTTGAACGTTGTGCTCTCCAACGAGAAACTACTGGTCGACACTGTGACCATAGATGCACCACTTGGTTATAGCGATCAATCCATGTTGCTCTTTCGTTGCATCTGTTACTCGGAGTGCATCAGTGAGAACAACGTGAAAACCTATGTCGTTACACATTCCGCTAAACTGTCTGACTTCGTTCAAGAAACCGACTGGTCCTTCCTGACCGAGAAGCCGCCCAATGTCGCCTGGATGGTGTTTGTCACCCAATTCACTGAGGTAGTGGCAAATTCGTTAGAAAGTAATGTCCTTCGTCCGAAGCAAGCGAATTTGTTCCTGAGGGGCCGTACTAGAAAATGCATGACCTGAACGGCTTCAGCCTGACGAGCTTACCTAGTCTATCCAAGTAACCTGACCTGGGGTGCTTATGCAACTCAACGAAAACACTGCGTCAAGTTGATCCGCGAAGACAAACTTCAGCATCAACAGAACTTAGCGGTGAAATTCAGTACCAATCCTAAGTTGTTGTGTAAGCACGTCAACAAGCTCCGCAGAGTGCAGCGCAGGATCCCGGTTTTACGTGCAACAGATGGTCTTGCGCAAACCTCAAATACGCAGCCAACCTGCTTCTCCAACACTTCCTCCATACTTTTCGGAGTGAATCATCATTTCATCCGCTTTTGACACAGCTTCCATCGCCACCAGGATTAAACCACGTATTGTTCACAGCAGCCATTGTGAAGAAAACGCTAATGTCATTGCGCGTGCACAGCTCACCTGGCGTGAACGACATCAAAACAAAGGCATTGAAGACAGTGACCATGAAACTTGCCGAATCATTAGCTCGGTTATTACAACGCTGTCTCGACGAAATGCAGCTTCCGAAAATGTGGAAAGAAGGACTAGTCACTACTATCTACAAAAGCGGTAATCTTGCGGAGCCCTCGAACTACAGCCCAATCACTTTCCTCCCAGTTTTATCCAAAGTAATGGAAGGTATAATTGCAGAGGCGCTCGCTTTATATCTTGAGAGCGACAGCATCCTAGTGTCACAACAACACGGATTACGCCGAAATCGATCATACACTACAAACTTGCTGCTAGCCGGAATGGGCTGGACAGAGTCAGCCGATGTCAGTGTGGGAATCGACGTTGTCTACCTGGACTACTCGAAAGAGTCCGGTCGTTTGGACCACTGCCTTCTCCTTCATAAGCATCGACGCTACGGAATCGGTGACCCTATACTCTGTTGGATCGGGAACTTCCTCACTCAATATCAGCTGAATGTGCGAGGGTGCAACTTCATTTCCTACCCAATTGACGTCTAGTGTGGCGTGGCCCAAGGATCGGTACTGGGGTCACGTTTATTCCTAACATTAGTTAACGATCTTATCAGTGTACTGCAGTCGCATTGCTTCCTATTTGCAGAGGATTCAACATTTGGCATGATATCAAGACATCGGATGATCACATGACATTGCAGAGTGAACTCGACAGGGCTTATGCGTGGTCATCCGATAATCGGCTTCAGTTCAACTTGACAAAGTGTAGAGTCGTAAGCATTTAGCCATCAATGAATATCGGCTTGGGGACCAGCAGTTGCAACGTGCTTCGCAAGATAACGATCACGGCGTGCTCGAGCAACATGGTCTTGGTTACTCGAAACAAGATGAAATGGCATCAAAGAAAAGAAAGTCAACATCTTGGACTCTTATGGAGGGCTTTCGGAAAGTTTGAGCCATCAAACTACCCGCAAATGCTGAAGGCCTAAGTGAGGCCTCACGTGGAATATGCGATCCAGGCGTGGCTTCTCTGGCGCAAGCGACTTCGATGCACTTGAAGCTCCACAACGTAGAGCGACTAAAGTCGTTATAGGATTGTTTCATCTCTCCTGCCAAAGCAGACTGCAGTCCCTGAGGTTGTACGGTGGTGAATATCGATGTCAGCAAGGAGACGTAATCATGGTTTACTTAATACTGATAAACCCAACTCACCCATGTTGCAATCTATTTCAGATGAGCCAAAATAACCAACCTGAGAGGCCAGCAGCTCAAACTGGCTACGCACTACAGTCCGTTTGATTGTCGACGAAATGTTCTCTCCTTCAATGTGTCCCGTTCCTGTAATGCCCTTCCGACTCACGTTATCCTTGTCCCTACATTAACGTTTTTCAAAAGCGCCTTGGTGAAACGCTTTTCAACTTGCATTACTTGATAGAGTCCGTTCCACTTGGTGGGCGAAATAACGCAAACCTAAC